GCCAAGAGGAGAAGAAATATCAAGAAATGCTGTATCAGCTTCATGGAGAAAGAATGTGTAATGAGAGGGTTTCTAGGGAGAGGTTTTGTGTTGTTGGAAGGGAAACAGGCTTAGATGGGACTTGGGAATGAATGGTTGATTAAGGGTGACAATGAGATGGGTTTTTATAGGAAGGCTGGCATGCAGATTTTTCCTTTTGAACTTAGTGGAGTGGTCTACATACCAATAAAAAATCTAAATTTGGATCGTGAAAATTGAGCCAAAAGTTCGGTCGTCATTCCAACGCCAAACAAGTTGAAGGAACGCGGCGGAGAGGAGGAAGCTGACTTATGGGGATTGAAAAAGTGGAATTAAAATAATGAGCTGATTTCTCCACTCCTCTTTTCTTCATTTACATTTCCTTTTACTTTTTAATACTTTTTAATCAATTTTGTTCTTTTTCTTTCCTATTCTACCTTTACCCTATATTAATTTATATTAGTTCTTTTTCTTTATACTTAATTTTCCAACTTGCATTCCATTTTCAGTATTTATTTTTTTCTTTAATAGAATAAGAAATTAAGTTTTTTCTTCCCTTTAATACTGAAAATGGAGTGTTAGTTGGAAAATTAAGTATATAAATAATAACAATAATAATAATAATATAATAAAGGGATATTTTATTGGCACCCTATTATTTGCTCTTTACACCCCATACTAATTTTAAACATGAATAACCTATTTTACCATTGTACATAATTACCGTTAAGGACAAAAAAAAATTATAATTAAAATTAAAATTGCTCACTATACCCCACATATGTTCCTGCAACCATAGTTTAACTTTGTTCTCAAACCATCATGTTCCTAAACCCTAAACCCTAGATTTATACGTTTATATTGGTGAAAAAATATCTTGTATTTATTCATGAAGGGTGAGATTGAAGTTAGATAGGCTTTGAATGAGGTATGAGTTTATTTTTTGGCGTTTTGCAAGTTTAGTATTTCATAATGGTCGCTGGTTACATTCAACACATTAGTATCAAACGCAATAGGTAAATTCGATGGGATGCCACAGAAACATTCGGTGGAGATCCACTGTAACATGGAACGTAGTTCAGTGGTTCACTACCGAACTTTTATTTGCGTTTCAGTGGCATCAAACCGAAATTTATTTATTTTTTCACTAACTTATTGCTGACCACAAATTTAATGGAAGCTATTTTGATCTTACTCCCATTGAAGGAACAAAAACAAGGTGACGCCCCTACTGAAGACAATAATGTGGGAACAAAATGTGTAATGGACTATAGTGATCAATTCACAACTTATTCGGTAATTATTTTGAGTTTTTGTTTGTCTGAAATCCTTTTATTATTATTAACGTGACATTAATGTTTCAAATATTATCCTTTTGTCATTACTGCTTGCGGCGGCCATGCAGAGGCGGATCTATTGAGGCGTAAATATCTTTGTTTTTTTACTTTTATTTATTTTTATATTACTTCATTTACTTAAGTTTACAATGTAAATAAGGAAGTACCCCCCATTTGGATTCAAATAAAAATACTAGAAAATCAAATTCCCACCAAATCAAAATATGAAAATTCGGTTTTAGTGCAAAATACGATTTAGGCTAAAAATGATGGCTCATTAAGTCAATATATACTTCATACTAAAATCCCATAAAATCAAGTTTTCTTATTTGATGTATAAGGAATAAAAGCCGCCAAAAATTATCTTGAGAAAATGATTATTCCGAAAAACCATTTTCATACTTAGTCAATATTGCACCTCCGCTAAAAAATTTCTGGGTCCGCCAGTGCGGCCATGAGCACATGTTTTCAACATAACTAAAAATTTCTTTGGAATTATGATATATAAAATTAATATTTTGTTTGCGTGCTTGCAATTGCATACAATTTCAAGAATTTGAATTAAACGTACAAGAAAAACCAAAACCGAAGTAATCAAAAGATTGCTATGCATAGTTGCATAGGCCAAATGCACAAAACCCCCCATCTTTGCACCTATTTTTGCAGCCACCACAATGCTTCCTATTGAAAGATGGATTTACACATTTTCCCTTGCAGCATATCTCATTGTACCTACACTTCTTTCCACATCTTCCACAGTTGAGGCGGTCTGTCAACACATTAACACACTTCTTCTTGCAGCAAGAAGGCCCCGGGCTTCCCTTAGCACGGCATATCCTGGGGAACTTGTTACAAGTCAATCTCCGCCGGCGTTTGCTCAAGAGAGAACGGCCAATTCCATGTGAGGTTGAAGATTGTTCTTCAGTTTCGTTTACCAGAGAGTTCGAAGAATCATTAATATTGGTTTCATGTTCTTCCTCCTCTGCATTGGGGTTTGCTTCAATGTTGGTTAGAACAAGAGCCAAGAGGAGAAGAATTATCAAGAAATGCTGTATCAGTTTCATGGAGAAAGAATGTGTAATGAGAGGGTTTCTAAGGAGAGGTTTTGTGTTGTTGGAAGGGAAACAGGCTTAGATGGGACTTTGGAGGAATGAATGCTTGATTAAGGGTACAATGGAGGTGGGTTTTTATAGGAAGGCTGGCATGCAGATTTTTCCTCTTGAGCTTAGTGGAGTGGTCTACATACCAATAAAAAACTAAATTTGGATCATGAAAATTGAGCCAAAAGTTAAGTCGTCATTCGAATGTCAAACAAGTTGAAGGAACGTGGCGAAGAGGAGGAAGCTGAACTATGGGGATGGAAATAGTGCAATTAAAATATATTGAAATAGGTGGTTTTATTAATGCATCAAAATAACCCCTTTCTTTTTTTACCAACAAGAAATGGGAGATTTGAATTTTTGATATCTTCCAACATTAGGATGATGAATATTTTCTAAATTTTAGTTACAAAATGTGATAAGGTGAAATGACAATATCTTAAGCTACAACAGGGGGATTCGAACTCGAGTGCAGAATGGAGAGCACATCCGCTTTAGCCAATTTAGCTAAGCCCATGTTTGCCACTTTGAACATTTTTTGTATAAGTAAATAGTTATTTAGCAGTCTTTATTTGGATTTATCATGGTTTAGTATAGTTTACATAAAATTCTTACTTTAATATGAAGGATACCATTTTACGCTTAGAAATTTAAGATTTAAGTTTCAAGTTATTAGCAGATCCCTCTAAGCCATAAACATGCATAATCCTAAAGAAAGTAGGCAAATTAGTGTAATATTTTCATTAAGTTACATTTCGAATTTATTTGGGGTAGTATATAGGGTATAATTTAAAAGTGAAGGATTCAATGTTTCCAGCTATGACTTTATGATACTCCAGAGATTGTGCTAGTGTATGTCGTCCCCTTCCTTGGATCGTAATAAATTAGCCCCAAAATAACCTCATAAAACAAATGAACTACGGTCTTACATCATTTAACATTCACAAGTGTACGATAAAGTCTGAGTAAATATTTCGTTAGTATTGAGATTTTTTTGTTGTTCAAGATTTTGTATTGAGAATAATGTGAACTGTGCAGCTCTTTATAGAGTAGATGGATAGACTTTTTTGTACTAACGGATTCTGGCCATAATCCACAAAAATATAAGCCAATGTGGTCTACTTTAAGAATTGTAGACAATGACACTTTTAAGATTTCTTCTATTTTTAGGTAGTGCTGACTCCTGCTTAGTCTGCCCCCGCCAACCCACCCACCATAAGTGGGCGAGTCTAATGTCCTCCAAAGTTGATTTGTTCTCATAGACATGTACCATCCTACATCCTTAATAGAAACATGCACAAAGGTCAAACAATTTGTAATAAAAGCGCGCTGAATTCATAGAATTAGAATATTTTTCTCGAAGTAATAAGGAGTTTGTAACTCAAGTGATTAAGAGTATTTACTTATACATCCGAGGTACATAAATAAATTATGCATATTGGGTCATTATTTTACCATTTATGAGTTAGATACCCTAGGTACGTAAAAATAATAAAAATAATATGGTTTGCATTGATTTAATACATCACATATGTATTATATAAAAATAACCAAAGTAATTAAAGACTGGGGTCATAAAACCTTGGGAGAAAGAAAAGTTGAGGGTGTAAAGCAAAGGTGAAGAGAATTTCTTAGTCCGTTGGGTTAAGTATATTGCGAAACACATGAAACATGAGCTCCTTTTATTTGATTTTCTTTATCTTATGTTCCCGAACTTGCATTGGTCAAAGCATAGACAACACCTTTATGGTGTCCCTAGCTCTATATATATTTTTATATATATTTGTTCCCATGATCACACCTGGATGGCTTCAACTTTTGGCAAATTAATTAATGTTAATTAAACTAGAGCTAGGAAGGTTCCGTATATACACTTGTCGTGTTGCGGTTAGCTATTAATCACTAGAATTAAGTAATTTTTGGATGTTTTGGATATATCACGTGGTTAGTGTACCATCTAATAGACTTACGATATGTGGGATATTTCTAATGGAGCTAGCCGCATGTCATAAAAAGCAATATAGTAAGTTAGAGAATAATTCAACATGTTATATGTGTATTAGATGGTACACCAACCACGTGCTGTATCCAGAACAATTAAAAATTTCCACTTGCACTTTGCACAACATCTTCATTAACTATTCTCTTCTTGGGTTTTATTTCATCCCAACTTCACCATGAAGGCCTCACAAGAACATTTCTTGAAGCATTTGACAAGCAACAACATGAACTATATGATTTTCACTTTCACTGGAGAATAAGGAATCTGATTTATACACAACCTGTCATTCCTAAAGCCAGCAGAAAAGTGGCTGGGCTACTTATGAAGGTATCTATTTCTCCCATATGAAAAAGCACCATGCGAGGTGTCACCCAACAAGCTGTAAAGAGTGAGTAAATTTTAAAAACTATGCTTAACTTCTTCCTTAATCTTATCCAATATTTTAATAAAAAAGAAACAAAAAAGAAACATGCGTACATCTCATAACAACCCAAATACATACCATAAACTGAAACTCTGAAATTAGTACATCTGTCAGACATGTTGGGCACTACCAAATCCGTAATTCTCATGACATTGACCATTTCCTCCTTTCTCTTCACAATTTCTGAGCAATATTCCAATTGCAGCCCCATCAATCCCATGAACATTACCAACTGCAAGAAACTAATCACTCTGGGAGCTGAATTTGGGTGGAACATTCACAGCAACAACCAAATTGATATCTTGCTCAGCATTAAAATTTCTGGTGATGACAGAGCAAAATGGCTAGCCTGGGGTGTGAACCCAGGTCCACACCGGCCGAAGATGGTCGGGACCAGGGCTATTATAGGCATTTCACAGCCCAATGGGACTTTGGCAGTCAGGAAGTACAACATCACCAGTGATACAAGGCTAGGTTGTAGGCTGCAGCCTTCACAAGATTTTGATGATGTCATCGTCAAAACCATGAAAGGTGATGTGCAGGCTGATAAATACATGTCAATATTTGCAACCCTAATTTTGCCTCCTGATCCAGCTGCATATAACATTTCAAAGCTGAACCATGTCTGGCAAGTTGGGTTTGAAGCTGATGATGTTCATCTGGAGCCTAAGATGCATTCCACTGCTCTCCAGAATGTGGACAGCACAGAAACTCTAAACTTGACCTCTGCCCGCGGTATTAGCATAGGACATCGCCGGCACCACCTCAGAAAGGTAAGATATGCCAACTTAGACTGAGATCATTCACCGTTTTACTAATTTTTCTTCTTTTTTTATCAACAACTTTTTGTTTGCTTGGTAATAGGTGCATGGGATTCTGAATATTGTGGGGTGGGGAACACTGTTGCCATTGGGAGTGATTATAGCAAGGTACTACAGAAGATATCCTTTTCATTGTCAAAAATGGTATGTCCTTCACGTCTCCTGCCAGATTGTTGGTTACAGCCTGGGCACAACTGGTTGGGCAATCGGGCTATGGCTTGGACATGCTTCCAGACACTATAGCTTCCCCACTCACCGAATTCTCGCCATGTTCATATTTGCATTCACCACGTTACAAGTAAGTATAATTACCACTCCTCTCTCTCTCTCTCTCTCTCTCTCTCTCTCTCTCCCATTGTGTCTTCAATCTGTCCGACACATGATGGCCTACAGGTCTTTTTTGTGCAAGTAAAACTGTTTCGTATCACGTAATGACAGAATAATTTAGTTAAACAATGACATGTGTTTAAAGTTTAATCTTAATATTTTATTTCTTGACACATGTCATCTCTATAACGTTGTTCCGTACAAAACATTCGTGGTCTTGGTGAAGCTTGACATGGTTTTATGTATAGTAGATGCTTGCCTTGCGTTTAAAGCCCACCCCAAGTGATGACTACCGCAAGTACTGGGACATGTACCATCATTTTCTAGGGTATGCACTGCTGGCTGTGATCTCAGTGAACATATTCAATGGCATTGCCATCTTGAAGCCAGATAAAACCTGGCTATGGGCTTACATCGGGGTCCTTTCTGTATTTGCTGTCATTGCGTTGGGTATGGAGATTTTCACTTGGGGTAAGTTCATATTTACATCACGAAAAAATAGACAAGCACCCATCAGAGCACTATCTGCAGATAATAATGCAGAAGCACCTCAAGCGGGGCAGGGCCCACAAGCCAATTAACACGGCCGAGAATTTTTTTTTTTTTTTCTTTTTTTGGGTTAGATTATACGGCCAAGTGTGAAAGACTCGTGAATTTTAATTCACATGTACTCTTGTTAATTGCTTGTTAATTAGTCTATGTTTCTGCACTCTTTTTTGATTCCATGTTCCATCTAGCTTGGACTTTGGAATTAAAGATTGGGTAAGATCATACTTGATCTTGATGTACTTCTTGAGCAACTCCTATTTTAGGTTTTTTGGTTTTGACTTGATCGTTAGAAACTTCACATTGCCAATTAAATTAGTTTATCTTGCTATTTCTTTAATGTTGTCTCATGATCCGAACTTGTTCATAGTTTAAATCTCATCTCAAATGTCATCCTTAAAAAAAAAATTTAATTGAATTGAAAATCATTTAGGTCCTTTAAAAATCTTCTAGTTAAAGAAGATTAGTGCATATTCTTAGTTGGTGGCAGAAAAAAAAAATCAATTGAATTGAAAATTACACCTTTTAAATGTGATCGTTCCTTGGTAACAAATGCCCTAGCTAAGGAATCTAGGGATGGCAAAAATTTCCCTCTTGTCCCCAGCTCTAACGGAGGAGAATTTAAAAAAAAATTAGAGGCGGGTACGAGAATTCCCAAATTTTAAAAATGTCTGAACCGAGGACTTTCCGCAATTATGTTTCACAATATCCTTCTCGACCACTGCAAACATCACTCCCTCTATCTAAGCCGCCTAAACCTAGTGATGTTCCAGGTTTCTTATGAATCAATTTCTTTTTTTTTTTTTCTCGTCAAATCCCCAAATTCCCAAATCTAGTTTTTTCCTTTTTTGCCCTTTCTACTCTTCCGCCTCATTTTAAGGGTATTTTATCATTTCATACAGGATTTACTTTGTTTTAATGTTTTTTTTATTATTTTAAAAAATATATGTTGTTAGTTTTCTAGTAATTTGATGATAACTAAATGATGTGGCATGTTGAGAATATAAGTCAAGCATATACTAACAAACAACCGGATATGGTTCGATACCCTTTATTTCAATATCGCTTCGCTTGTATACAAAAAACAAAAAATCAGAAGTTCCCCTTATTCAAATATGCATGTATACAAAAAAAATAAGAAATCAGAAGTTCCCCCTATTCCAATACAGCTTCTATACAAAAAAAACAAGAAATCAGAAGTGAAAAAAGTAAGGCGTCTCTTTAAGAAATTTTTTTTATAAAAAAAAATAGGTAAAATGAGGATGACGTGAAAAATAAGATTTTTTTTTTTGAGTGATGATGGGTGCAAATAGACACCACAAGGTGCAGGAAGAAGAAACCCAATGGCCTTACGTTTATCATATCAACCCCACAACTTCACACTTCACACTTCACAGAAACCAGGACCAAGGCCCAGGAAGAAGAAACCCAATACACAGCTTGCATGGCTGCTCCAGCTGTCGAAAACGCCGCCGTTTCGGCTCTCCGGTCGGTCATGCTCCGATTCCGGCAGGCTGCCGAGCGGTCGGGTCGGAATCCGGGTCAGGTGAGGGTAGTAGCGGTGTCGAAGACTAAGCCCGTTTCTCTCATCCGCCAAGTGTACGACGCCGGCCACCGTCGTTTTGGCGAGAATTACGTCCAGGAAATCCTAGACAAAGCTCCTCAGGTGAGTCCATCTCTCTTCCTCTCTCTCTCTATAAGTATGTGGGGTTAATGATTGCAAACGTTTATGTCTGCAGCTTCCCGAAGACATAGAATGGCATTTTGTTGGGCATTTGCAGAGCAACAAAGCGAAATTGCTTCTGGGTATCCTTTGCTTTTTCCTGTTGTTTTCAGTTTTCAATTACAGTCTCAAAATTCATTTACTTTTACATGACAGATATACGTGGTGTTTGGTTGCGGGAATGAACATTGGAATGAAATTAAAACTGGAAAGATATAAAAGTGATTTAATCAGAATTGGAATAGAATATCCCATTGGGGGAGAGAGTCAGAGTTAAAAGATAAAGTAGGAAAATTTGAAAATTGGTAAAGAACCCAACTTTTGATAAATTGGTACAGAATCTCAAACTCAGAAAATATTGCAACTCTTTTTAGATTTCTGCTGTTTCATATTGTGAGGGTTGGGTGTCTTGGTTTGGGCATAATTCAACAATTTGCAGGTTGTTGGCTTTGTGATAATCTTATAAGTTCTGAGACAGAGATCATATCCTACTTTGAATCTTATGTGGGAATTCTTTTAATAATTTAAGTTACTATGTCTATATGCAGCTGGAGTCCCGAATCTGGCCTTGGTTGAGGGCGTAGACAATGAGAAGGTAAAGACAACTCCAAATATCTGTTTTATTTGCTGAAGGTAATTAACTTATTTTCTGTAAATTTTATTTGGACTTGTCTTTACCTTCATATTATTGTCTATTAGCCAAATTATTGGTAATATGCTGTGGAAACCTTCGTGGATTTCAGTTGATTAATCATTGTGCAGGTGTTATGCGTGTGTTATTACTCAAAATGACATTGTGTTACTTTGTGTATATAATCCACAGATTGCAAACCATCTTGATCGAGCAGTGTCAAACCTTGGTAGAAATCCTTTAAAGGTTTTGGTCCAAGTAAATACCAGTGGAGAAGTATGTAAGTAATTTCAAAATCATCACTCGTTCCTGCAGTAATTAGTCATGTTGTTCAATTGAGCATTAGTATGGCATTGAAATTGTTTGAATCTTTCTCTTCCCTGCTCTCCCTTTTTAGCTGCATAGAAGTATATTTCCCTCAATTAACTTTGTGGTTGTAATGTAACCACAAAAATTCTACATGATAAATGCAACATGTGGTATTTCCTCTGAAGAGCACAACCTATGTGCGTAATAAGTTCAGTAATTATATCATCTCATGTCTCCATATCTTAACATGTCCTTTACCAATGAAAAGACACTTTGCCTGGCCTTCAACTTTTAACTCAGCTGCTTGTTAAGGCAGTCAAAACCTTATGCAGTCAAGGTACGTTATAGTTGGTCACTTGCAGAAAGAAGGCTCATACTCTTTCTAACTATTGAACTAAATTCTATTTCCAGTAATTCAGAGATAAATTTTAATTTGCCCCACCTCACCTACTTCATGTGTTTTTCTGATATTTTCTGCAGCCAAATCTGGTATCGATCCTTCTGGTTGTGTTGAACTTGCAAAACATGTCAAATTTCAGTGCCCAAGTCTAGAGTTTTCTGGCTTAATGACAATAGGGATGCCAGACTATACATCAACTCCAGAAAACTTCAGGGTAACTTTCTTACTTGCTTAGTGGGGTGCATGGAAACTGCTTACAATGGCATTGTTTGGTTCTTGTTTCACAGACCAATCAAAATAAGTTGTCTGTCTCACAAACTGAAGTCATCTGTTTTAAGTGCCTAAACCCTAAACCCTCTGTTTTTCCTATATATTTAAAATAGAATTGAATCATTTGATACTCATTTAATGTTGTTTTCTTTGGGAACGAAATGGTAATTTGTAGGCTATGTAATTTAGTGTTAATCTTTCCCCTCCCTGACCTTAGTCCTCCTGTGGGTTGGACTCGAGACCTTTACTTATTAAAAGGGAAAGGTACTGGTATCGCCTTGGTTTTATTTTTGGCCAGTAGTATCACTTTGGCTCAAGGACTAGTAAATATCCATTTAATGTTTGAAGTCCCCGTTACTGAGTTTCATTTATATTATTTTTACTTTTGGGATATTTCATTTATTTTCCCCCCGTCTTTTTTGTTGTTCATTAATTTGATTAGGTTTTATATCTTGTAATTCAACAGATGCTATCTGAGTGTAGAGCTCAGGTCTGCAAGGCACTTGATATGGCAGAGGAGCACTGTGAGCTATCAATGGGCATGTCTGGTGACTTTGAACAAGCGGTATGAAATGCCCTATCTTGACATTGAACTTCAAAGAAATTGCAACAAACTCATATTTTCGAAATGACTGAATGACAGCTGTTGCTATATCCTTTATTACAACTTAAATAGAACAACCTGTGCAAATTTGAACTTATTATCCAGTATTCTACTAAGCAATGGTTGGATTGGATCATACAGCAGTTATCTGAAGACCTAGACCTTTGTGGCGATTTTAAATGTAATATTTAAGAATCATCTTAAGGAAGAAATGATTAACACTCTTGATTGTCCTGTGCAGATTGAAATGGGCAGCACCAATGTCAGAATTGGATCCACCATATTCGGGCCAAGGGATTATGCTAAGAAGCAACCAGATTAGTATCTTCCAACCCCTGCCCTTCATGCCTTTATGTGTTTCTATGTGTTTATTGATCCTGGCAAAGCTTGTATCCCTCTTTTTCAGTTGTATGGTGTAACAATCATTAACTATCATTCTGCTCATCATATGCAGCACCTCACCTTTATTGTAATCAAATCATGTACCACAAAATCTTTCATGTATTGCTATATTTGTTATGAAGTCTTTCTTACAGAGCCTATGGTTGGACTCCCCTTTTAAATAAAATTAAGAGAATAGGGAAAAAAATACGGAGAAAACCATCTATTCGACAATAAAATGGATAAATCACCAATTTTTACTCTTTATTTCGTGCTAATATGTAATTAATTTTCTGTCTTAGTTGGAAGGCTCTTCCAATCATAGTGATTTGTCCTTCTAATTGCACAATGGTCCCGTCTGAATGAGCCCTTAGCATCCTGTATCTAATCATTAGACAATATAAGTCTAATAGATGGTAGGTCTAGGTTACAAGATTGATTATGGAGGTGGAGGACTTGGACATACATTGATACTGTCTAATCATTAGCAAATGCAAGTCTAATAGATGGTGGGAATATAAGGTTCGTGGGGAAATATAATAGAGGAATGAATCAAAATATGGTAACTTTTTTATTATTATTGGTGCAATTTGATTGGCTTACATTGATACTGTTTTTACTGAGTTACAACTGATCATAGGAAATTATAGTTACACAAGTAAAATAAATATATGGTTCAAGACTTGCAGAAGGAAAAATTACCCTGCAGATCTTGTTCTTCAAGGAATTTTTATTTAATTTAGGACGTCGAAGTTGTGGGGCACCTGTATTACAGGTTTTGTGCAAGCTGGTGGGTTTTGTTTGCCGTCAGTTATAACATCTACTTTTGAGCATGCTGATACAGCCGGTCCCTCAGGACCCTTGTAACTCAGGTTGATGTCTCTCAACTGAATATTCTGGCACGGCTTCGTTTCGCTACACTTGAGAGTAACAGCATTTGGTGTGCTTGAAGTACCCCAAATGTTAATCATCTTGACATCTACAATCTGAATTTGGGATGATTCCTGCACGCAATGAAAGCGATTAATCCAATTTATAAATCACAATGTGCATAAATTATTAGGGGAGCACGTCCATCTGTGCGTCCTCTGTTAAAGGACAGATTTTGTATCGATAACATGTTGGTGTATTTTTTTTTTTATGTCGGTATGTTATCAACACTATATTAACAGTCCGTCCGTAAAGAAACACATTGTATACCACATCTATAATTAGGCTTACACTGTGTAGTTGGTTTATAGTTACGTACCGTTGCACTGCACCTACGAGCAGGGCAATAATTTTGATCGATGACTATAGGGTTTTTGACCTGCTCCATTCGAATGTTCTCAACGTAAACATGTGAAACAGTGCCTTGTTTAGAGGGAGCCCATGTTTTGATTCTCACTCCATTGTCAGTACCAACAAAGGAGCAGTTTCTTATGTCCACAAAAGAAACATCATTATTATTTCCCCTGCCAAGGCTTCCAATGCTCATTCCATGGCCTGGTCCACAGTGAACACCGCTAACGGTGATCTTGCTTGATCCGGCGCTGAAGGATATGCAGTCGTCCCCGGTGGCGATCACGGAGTCCAAAATTTGGACGTTGGACGACGAACCAATGTGGATTCCGTCGGTGTTGGGGCTTTCAGCGGGAGCTGATATGTTAACGTTGGTAACTTTAACGTCTTTGCATGCAAAGAAGTTGATGTGGAGATTTTTGCTGTTAATCGATGTTATGTGATCTATGTTTAGATTTGTGACGAAATCAAATCTCAAATTCTGAAAAAAAATAAGGCAAACACAACACAAACATTAGCAATAAACTAGACATACCATATATATACTTTTCGCATTCAAGTCCATGATATATATATTGAACAAAATGAAGGGCAAGAACTTACTGCAGGGAGTCGCATGCATTCTGGATCTTCCAGGCAGTTGTTATGGTGCCAAGCAGAGGGTCCTTGCCCATCCAATAAACCACCACCATTGATGTTCAAGTTGTCAACGTGTTGGAATTTGATCCAATGGTCTATATCAACCGAAGATTGGACCCCCTGGGGAGCCAGTAGGGTCCCTTCTATCTGCAACCCAATTGGTCCCTTGCATTCCCCTTTCAAAATCACTGGCCTTACCAAGTATTTCCCGGTTGGAAATAAGATCACACCACCTCCAATTGTTTGACACGCTTGAGTCCATGCATCAGTGAAGGCCTAGAAATAAAAAATAAAAAATAAATATTGACATCTCCATCATAATCTTAACATTTGGATTTAGACAAACTCAGAAAGATTACCTTGCTGTTATCAGTTTTTCCATCAGCAACGCCGCCGTTTTTCGTCACATCAAAAACTGTTTGCTTAGCTCGAACTCTGGAAATGGATACCACCACCAAGAACACAAAGCAAACAAATTGACCAACCAAGCTGGAAACCATTTTCATATTTTCACTTTAATTTTTGTTTACCAGTGATCTTCTTCAATCACATGTCTCTATTGATGTTATGGATCATGTGTTTTTATATGCTGTTTGTGCAGATAGAAATGGAATGATACCACCATATGATTTTGTTTCTGATTTTGTTTCTAATTTTGTTTTGATTGAATTTCTTTTAAAGGGTTTAAGAAAATCTGTTCCTCCCAAATTGAAAGCTTTTTGTTTTTTTTTTTATTTTCCTACATTTTATATGTATTAGAGGAAGGGAGTTGAATTTCATGGCTAGCCTGCTAATTATAAGGTACATTTTAAGGTAAATATATTGAATATGATATAGTTGCATAGCTTATGGGTACGATTTTCTTCTTCTTCTTCTTCCAATATAGATTGGTTTTGTAATCTTTGTTTTCCTTTTAAGAGGATTCATTTGCAATTCACATTCACATGGTCTATGGTACACGTTTAGGGCGGGTTGGTGCAGGAATTTGACTTGGGATATATTTGAAATTTTTGTCCCTGCAGTCTTATCAAGAAAATTAAAAATAATAATAATGAAAAAAATAAGAGAGCTGTTATTTCTACCCATCTGTCCTATTTTCCCACCTATTTTATTTTCAAAATTTTAAAGATAAAATTATCCTTTTGTAAAATTACTTCTAAGGACTTAAGAGGACACACATTTTCACACATAATAAAACACACTTTTAATACCATCAGATTCACCTACTATCAACGATTCAGATTATCGACTTATAAAATATAATTAATGTTATTTTTGTCTATTGTTCTACTTTTTTCCGGAAAATAAATTGGTCTTTCCTAAAATCGGACTTTCTCTCTCCACTCTCACGTTATCTTCTCTAACTCAAAAACTGAAGGAGAAGAACTTTCTAACCCACCAGAGCATGTCTAAACTAAAATCACCTTGAGATGGTTAATCTTTAGTTTCTTGAAGAAAAAAAAAATAGCCGTAAAAAATTCACATAAGACTTTCTTCTAGCAGGATCATGCTGCCAATGATATATGTCATTGGGTTGGGGCTATCCTGCAAACGTTGAACACAGCTTTAATGGCGCGTGCTCTGTTACATCCTTTTGGGTCAGGAAAAATTTATTCTCTTACATGTTTATAATTTTCTCTCTCCTGGCACATCCTTGTATGCATTTTTCTTCTCCTCTAAACCATCTAGTCCAAGTCTGGTGGTGGTATGGCTTTTCCATTTATCCTAGCGCATTCAATCTCATGGTTAAGAAAGAATTTTAACGACATTAGTTCCCCTTTTTTCTTTTTTCTTTTCCTCTCATATTTATTATTAAAATCAGAGCACTTTGATGTTCATGATGATATTGTTAAAGAAACAAAAATTTATAACTGAAGTTTTAATCACAGCTGTTGAATTGAATGAATGTTAATCTTATGGTTAAAAGTGTCATAATAGATACACAATGATATTTAGTTTGCTTGAATTAATAATTAAAGGGTATTTTAGGGATAATGGTGGATGGAAAGATAGGTTTGTGTTTTTTCAAATTTATATGGTGGGTGAGAAAATAAAGTGGGTGGGAAAATAGGACAATAGGGTGGAAATAGCAGCACTCAAAAATAAAAAAGATATATTTTGTTAGATATGAAACACCAAGAGATAAGTATCTCAGTTGAGAAGTGGTCATCAACTTGAATTCAAACTCGTCATAATAATATATCCTCTATTTGCACCATAATCAACCGAGTATATCCAGTCTCAAAACAACTAGCACCAAGGCAGACACGCTTTCTCCCCTGCCGAAGGAAGACACTCTCCCAAGGTGCCAGACACCTGCCGAAGCTCCCGACTGCCGAAACTCTCAAACTGCCTAACCTAATCTCCAAGACACGTGTCACCACCACAGCGACTTGCACAAAGTCTCACATCGAAATTCTACACAAACCTCCCACTTTCACTTCCCTATAAATAGGGAACAATACCCTAGTAAAAATGATAACTACTTTCTTACCTTTTACTGTTATTCTACTAAAATTACTACTCTTAGCTGACTTAAGCACCGGAGAGCCTTTGGGCGACACCACACCGGTGTCTGAAGCTTAACGATTGCTTCTCCTACTTTGTCTTCTGCAGGCTCAAACCTTACAGAAGGTCCTCACCTTCTCCACTACTGAAGACAAACCCCTTTTCTCTAAGTTGATCTTTTCCGAAAAAGAGCATCAACATCCTCTATAAGAGGCATGACGCCTAGAAGCAAAAAAAAAAAGGCGAGGGAATAGAAGAGCCGCTGGGAAGGAGGAGGAGGCAGGAAATAGAGGGAGCCGCAGGAACAAAGAGGAAGAGCAAGCACATAAGAGGATTCCTAGCTATGGTGACTTCTAACATCATAAAAAAAATAAGAGTTAAGAATCTCTCTGTAGCAAAGCTCTGCTCAAAGACTTCCAAGGAAGCACTCAACATCCAGTACAATCAACCCATGGGAATTCTTGGCTATGATGATTTCAATCATCACAAATTAAGTCAAGAATCTACTCTAAGTCGTATCTCCTCTCAAATACCTTCACGACATCATCCAGTTATGGATTGACAGCCAAGATGATTTCAATCATTTATGAGATCAAGTCCTGGTCTGCTCCAAGATGCAGCTCCTCTCAGACGCTTTCAGGATGTGCTCAACATCCAATCACAAGCACTATGTAAAGATTGCTTATTATGATGGGCAAACCATCACAAAAATCAAATCTGGTGGCTTTGCAGG